GAAATAATAAATATTAATTCTAAAACACTAAATCATATTACAAGATATAGAGCACTTCTGAGTTTCTCAGAATTCAACGCTCTCTAATCTTCTTTCTTTGTCTAAAAAATAAATGCTCAAATTTGAACAAATCACCTTTGAAAATTCAAAGATCTTAAATCCATGTCTAAAACTCTAAAATCAAGAAAAATACATATTAGTATTATAATTGAGAGTGATCTTAAGAGACTCGTTTTTCTTGGGATATAATTAATCATTAGGACGTGCCTTTATGATCAACATGTAACTCCAAAGTAAAGGAAAAAAAAAACTCTATATTAAAATAAACTCTATCATATTCTTTAAGTAGAGGAACAATCTTTAGGAATGTGGACATTTTTCAAAACCACATTTATATCTTTGAATATCATAGTAGAATATCACTTTTATCTTTACAACATGTATGATATTTTTTATGCCATGTTCGACTTTGCAAATAAATATTGAAAAATTATATTTATATTTTTAAATTCATTGTAGATTATTATGTTAGTATTTCGAGATGATATATTATTCTCGATATGATAGTTGATTACAAAATTAGGAGCACTTCGAATCAACATAGTATTATTTTTCTCACAATCCGTAAGAATTGTTTAATTGAACTATAAATAAAAATAAACTACACCTTCCAATCCCTCACGTTGTTGGCTAGGCAATTCATCCGCTTCACTATCAAGGAGACTTAAGGAGGAGACTTGAACACTTCCATTCTTAAATCCCTTCATAATGAATACATTGCATAATAGAGTTAATGTCCACAATAGCTTATTCTCTTATAGGAATGCATTAAAGGAAATGACGCTTGCCATGAAATTTGGTAGGATTTGGGTGGGATCGGTCCTATACAAGTTTAAGATATCCACAAACTCATGGAAGAATAGTGGTCACAATCCCATCTTGAATTGGTCACATGGGATGCATAACTCCTCTTCATAAAAGGTATTTAGGTACTCATCATCCGTGGGAAATACACCTACAGTGTAATATTCCCAAAGTATTATGTACGGGATATATGGTCAACAAATTTTATGGAAAACTAAAGTGATTGCAAATAGTTGGCATTAGCAAAAGTGGTGGCGCACTTATGAAGGGCAATCATGGGATCTCAATACACTATCGCTCTGAAAATTGGGGTGGTCAATAAAATCTCAATCGAGAGCTGGCACCCATATAGGCCCAACTAAGTAGTATATATAGAGAATAGAAGATGCATGAATATTGAAGTGCTAATCGCATTCACATTTAATGCTTAAGATTTTTCCCATACTCTTCATTATTATCTTAAGATATGATGGCTTTCCATTCACTCTCCCTGATAAGAAGTCACTAATTATATGTAATGTTAGCTTGCTCATGAGTAGCAAACATATCTCACCATCGAGCCTCACCCATAGCAAAAGTGCTAAATTATATAAACTCGCCACTTGTCGAATAAATAATAAATTCACCATTCAATAGTAAAAACTAACTCATCATATTAAAGGAAACACAAATAATGCAAAAGTATTCTTAATTTTCATTTCTTCATTTTACATAACTCATTAGAATATGATGAATAATGTACTCATAGTATAGAAAAAAACAACCAAATATAACATACTTTCTAAACATAAATATTTTTACCACTTAGATAAATTCTTACATATATGTCATTACATAAAATATTATTACAATAAAAAGAAAGCGAAGGCGAAGCTCCTCACCACTGCAAAAAAAAAATCCTATACATATGGTTTGTCGTTGCCTTAGGCAAAGTAGCCCTTACTCAAAATTAATGGATAGTTAGTTTATAAAATTTTAATAGATTACAAATTTTTGAAAATGCCAACTTGAATCAGATTTTCACTAAAAATATTTTCACTAAAAACATGAAAAAAAATCGATGTTTTTATTAAAATAGTGAAAAAAGATTTTTCACTAATTTCAAATATTAAACATTTTTTTGCACCTTCCTAAATTAACTTAGGATCACATATCTTTACATAATTAGGATTAATCGCAATGAATCTCTAAAATTTGACTATTTCAAGTCTCATTTTGAATATATATTTATAAAATTTAAAATGAGATGACAATGTGTGCCTAATTTTCTGCATTCAATTAAAGGAAAATATGACAACATTTAAATCAGCAAATATATCAATGCTACGTAAATATTAATTCCAGCCCAACGAACATACAACACTAGGCCAAGTCAGTTCTCGGTAGTTCCACTCCATTCAACCGAGTTTAATCGGCCAACTAAAACTCCTTCCATCTAATCTAATAAGTCCGATTGGCCAATTCAAACTGGTATCGAACTTAAATTTGCTAGCACTTCAACATCCAATTAGCTTCCCTTGTCCAACGATTCTGACCCTTTTTTACTTCCACAATAGTCTTGCTCTTTAGATGCCTCCATAAATATCCACACCCATATTCATGATATATTGCTCTAAGCAGTGCTTTCGCGCTAAAAGATTCCATCAATCTCTTTGTTGGCCTTATTCTATAACTGATCACCATCCTGTGAGTAACTGTCTCCTAGCAGGAATAACCAAAGGGACCCTCGACATATTGCACGTCATCATTCTAAATGACATGTGCCACACTCATTTTTTGAAGATTATGCTACGATTTTCGCAGGGTCTTACATCATCATCCATCATAGAAGTTCCTCTATAAGCATCATTTTCACTTATAAATAAGCACATCCTAGGTGTTAGGAGTACCAATGTTAAAGATATTATGTAATTACTTGTTAGGACAAAATGAAGGGTGAAAAAGCTGTTGGACCTGATGATATTCTAATAGAGGTGTGGAAATGCTTAGGAGATGAAGGAATTTCATGGTTTACGAAATTTTTTAATACTATTTTGAAGACTAAAAAGATGGTAGATGAGTGGAGAATGAGTGTGTTAATTCCTATTTTTAAGAATAAAGGTGATGCACAAGATTGTGCGAATTATGTGTCATACTTTAAAAATATGGGAGTGAGTTATGGAGCATAGGTTGCGGCGTGATACTAATGTTTCTCAAAATCAATTTGGATTCATGCCAGGTAGGTCGACTATGGAAGCCATACATCTATTAAGAGGTTTGATGGAGAAATATAGATAAAATGAGGAGGATCTACATATGATATTTATTGATTTAGAAAAAGCATATGATAAAGTTCCAAGAGAAGTGCTATGGAGAGTTCTTGAAAAGAAAGGAGTCAATAATGCTTATATTCAAATCATTAAAGATATGTATGCATGAGCTATTACTTGTGTTCAAACACAAGATGGATTGATCAAGTATTTCCCTATTTCGGTTGGGTTACATCAAGTATCAGCCTTAAGCCCATATCTTTTTGCTTTAGTCATGGATGTTCTCACTAGACATTTGCAAGAGGATGTACCTTGGTGTATGCTTTTTGCTGATGATATTCTTCTTGTTAATAAGGCTAGAGAGGGAGTTGAAGGTAAACTTGAATTATGGAGGTCAACCTTAGAGTCTAAAGGTTTTTGCTTGAGTAGATCTAAAACGAAATATATGGAGTGTAATTTTAGCAGTAATAGACCTAGTGAGGGGATTGTGACTTTGGGCAATCAAGTCATTAATAAGAGTACACGTTTTAGATATCTTGGATCAATTGTTCAGAGTAATGGTGAAATAGATGAGGATATTATCAACAGAATTCAAGTTGGATGGTTGAAGTGAAGGAATGCATCGGGCTTGTTATGTGATCCAAGATATGTACCCCTCAAACTTAAGGGAAAATTCTATAAGATGGTAGTGAGGCCTGCAATGCATTCTGGTGCCGAATGTTGGCCATTAAAAGAGAAGCATAATACTAAGTTAAGTGTGGCAGAGATGAGGATGCTCAGGTGGATGAGTGGCTTTACCCTTAGAGATAGGATACGAAATGAGCATATACGTGAAAAGGTTGGAGTAGCTCCAGTAGAAGATAAGATTAGAGAGAGTCGCCTTAGATGGTTTGGTCACATAAAAGGCCTTCCGATGACCCGGTTAGGAGAGTAGAGGTATCAGATTTGACTTATATTAAGAAAAGTAGGGGTAGACATAAAAAGACTTGGTCAGAAAATATTAGGAATGACCTTTCTTTATTAGATTTAAACGAGAATTTGACTTTTCATAGGACACAATGGAGAAAAAGGATTCATGTAGTCGACCCCATGTAGTGGGATAAAGGCTTGATGTTGATGTTGATGTGACTTGTTAGGACAAAACTCATTTTTCTGCATTGCCCTTTATTTTTCCTTTCTTCTTTCTCTTTACTCTCTCAAAACAAAAAAAGTTTCTTAAAATTTGTGTTCACTCTTCAACATTCACATATGCAAACCTAAAGGATTTTATTTGATGCTTTGATTACCTACTTGGTTGCCTTCCAAGTGGCACATAAAATGTCGAAATTAAAAGCAACAGTTTTCATATAGTTGGTTTTCTACTCTAATGAAGTCGCTCTAAAGAGTTGCTAAGAATGCATGTACTACTCGTATGGTCTCTTATTATCTAATCAAAGTCACCCCTATAAATGAAAATTGACTCTTCATTTCAATAATTGATCACACTGCAGCCGAATTGAACAAATTTCCAATGGACATATTGAATTGAGTTTTGATTAACTCTTTATTTTATTATAACCGACTTCACATGAACTAAATTCTTTTATAGTTCATATGAAGCGAGTTTGAGTTTAAAAAATAGACTATCATCACATTGATTTATGTTATTCCATTAGTATAATATGCCTGAAAATAAAAACAAAACATACTAAAGGTACTTCCAAACACTTAAAATTGACGATTAATTGTCAGCACTACGAAGATGATCATCAAATATATCCCTTTCTATAAAAAAACATATTTCGATTCAAATTATTTTTAATCATTTCAAGACAAATTAGTACTGTAAATAAATTAACAAACTCCCAAATAGTGGATACATCTTCCTTAGCAGGCTTTCCAACTTTGTGAAGCACTGGTTTGAAAAAATTGAAAATTCAACATTTACCACTTATCTTAAAAATGACATGTATCACATTGTCTGACTGTAAAACAAAAAACCTTCATGCCCCCTTTCTCCAGCTTTATAGTTTACAATGTGCATAAGGGCCATATAAATTTTGTCTGAGGTCAGGCATTAAAGACATGTTCAATACAACAGCAATATATTCACATCAAAAGACAATAAGCATAAAGCACCAAATGGCAATAACCTAAATGCATTAGAATGATAAGCCTTGAGGACGTACCTAACTTCCAACAAACAAATTACTACGTGAAAACAGAGGGATTGGCTGAGGCAGTGCTGACTTGAACTTCAAGTACCTCCAGTCGACGTTCCAAAACATCAAGCTTCTCATTCAGACAAGCCAGCTTGCTCTTTGTGGTAGCCTCTGCAACAACACAAGCCTTAAAATGAGAGCACATAAATGTATTCACATAGATTTCAATGCTTATCCTGCAAACAAGGATTAATGGAAACGAGCAAATATGTCTACATGCCAACAGAAAGAAGAAATTCCTAACCAATAAACTAGTTTAATAATGCAGTCACCGTCAATCTCTGAATGCAATGCTCAACCATTTATATGTTACACCCCCAAAAAATGAAATTAAAAGTACCAGGACTCTATTATGGATACAAATTGAACCGCAAAGAATAGAAAGAAAAGAATGAGATTAGGGTTCAAAACTTCTTTTAATTACTATAGGTTTAAGGTGGACCCAAGTAACCCCCTAGATGGAGAAAGGGTGAGACAATTGAATTTAGAGTGACATCGATAAGAGAAAATCAGTAAGATAATATAGAGATTTTAAGGGGATAATTTTGCCAAAAGCACAATATTACATCATGTCCACATTCAATCAAGGACCCCTTATTTATATTTGGGGGACAAAGTTGATAGTACTTGAACAAAATTACAAAAAAATAGAGTAAAAGTAAAAAATAGTCACCCGGCAATTAATAAATGCCTAATGTAATCTCAAACTTTAATATGCACCAATTTAATCTACTGATTATTATAAAATATTTAAATTTGGTGTCACAAACCTAAAACTAAGGGTTAAAGTTAAATGTAATAGTTAAATGTGAGGACATTTTGGATATTATAGTATATGTGAAATTATATTATTTTTATATATTTTGTCATTTATCATATTAAAATAAATACAAAAATTATTTAGTTAACATCCATTATATGTTTTTGTATTTATTTTAATTTAACAAATAAGAAAAATATTAAAAAATAATATAATCTCATATACACCATAATATCCAAAATGTCCTCATATTTAACTATTGGGATTGACTATAACTATTACTTTTGGCCATAGGATCAAATTAAGATATTTTCTAATAGTCGGGGGCTAAATTGGGTCATCATGAAAGTCTATGACTAAATTGAACATTTATTAATAATCGGGAAATTATTTTGAGCTTTTACTAAAAATGTAAGTTAACTTTGTATAACTATCTACACAAAGAGCAAGTCTAATTATTAGCTATTATAGGCAGGAACATCAGGTAAGTTTCAGAATGATGGTGAGTACAATTGATAAGTTCTACTTGTATGATACTTTAATCGGCAACAAGTACTATGAATAAGTAGGCAAGTTACATGAATGGGCAGCTTTCACAAGTAGATGACTTTTTAAGCAAGCTCAGCAGCCAAGTACTAAGGGTTGAGTAGGGTCCATTTCTTGAATAACTTGACGATTTATAGCTTTGGACAAATTGAGGGCTTAGATTAATTCAAGCTCGAAGGCTCATGAGTTTGTTCTTATTTTCCAACTTGAACCCAATTTAAGTTCTAATGATTTGATCAAACGGACCTACATGAACATGAGTGAACATCAATTATTTGATTCTCGTCTTCCTTGTAAGAGACCAAGAATAACATAAGGAATCTAGTGAACCCAATTTGGCATGAGTTATATTACCAAGATCTCAATCACTCAATCTAAAAATGTGTTTGGATCTTTGACAATTGGCAGACAGAGCAGTCAATGCCTATAATCTGTGGATTTATTCTTACAATAAGAATTTTGCATTGCTTGTTCTCTGATCATTGTTTATTGATTTGTAATTGTTATGTTATCACTTTGTGTTTTTGCATTGCTTTCCCTCTGACCATTGTTTTTTCATTTGTAGTTGTTTTGTTATGACTTTGTGTTTTTGCAAGTAGAGGAATTTTGATCCTCTCAGGCTCTCACCAACTTTGCTGTATCTGAAGCATTGTTTAAAATTGCGCAATATCAAGATCCTCTCAGTGCAATTCCGGTGAAAAATACCTAGAAGATTACGCCACAAGCTTTTATTATGAGTGCCTTGCCTTGCTGCTGTGAGGCATATGCTTCACCCTATTTATATTTTTTTATTAAAACATACCTAATCCGAACAAATCACGACTTCATGCACCCACGAGCTACAACATCTTCCTCTAGATTGTCTTAACCTAAAGCCCACCACCTCCGCCATAGCCACAACCATCGTAGTGGTTGTCGGGGATCACTTGAAACCCGCACACCACCACCACCTGCTATAAAAAATTTGGAGTATTACTCTCATCTTTATGTTAATGACAAATATTTAAGAAAGAGAATGATAACTGAAATAAATGTAAAAAAAAAAAAGATTGGGAGGCATTTAACTCCTAATGATGAGGTAGAGGAGAGACCAATTTATTATGAAAATGACTCAAATAAAAACCCCCTCAATGATAATAGTGCAAATGATTTATAAGTTGTTGTCAACTATTTTAGATTTCTTTAGGAATTAAATGAAGTTGAGTGCTGAATCGGAAAAGAAGGCATTTGAAGTTGAACTTGATGTTATATAATACTTTTATACAAGTCTTATATATTATCTTATTTTACTCTTGTAATATTTGGATTTTAATTATATTTCATATAATTTATCACTTATTACTTATCACTTTACATCTTATGCAATTTTTTATTTCATACGTATGTCAATTTGTTACTTCATAGTTCAATAGAAAGTTAATATATCATCATTTAATATATTATTTGGATACTATATAAAAATCACTTTTAATTTTTATTTTCATTTTACAAATTTTTTGAATTTTGAGACTTACACCTCGCCTCATGAACTAAAAATAACTCAATACCCATTGTGTAATTTTAAACCTTGATCTGAAGAGCTTATAGCAAATTCAAAGGTGGTGAATGGTGATGCATGGGGCTGGAATTGCCATTGAGGCATGTTCATCTGCAAAGATGGCTTTACTGAAGAAGGTCAAGACCAAAATAGTGAGAAGCAAAAGGTGGTGACCAAGCAAGGTTATTGAGAAAACCTCCGGGGCTAAGGAGGCAGTTGCTATGAAGTCCCCCTGGGGAGTCAGAGGTTGTCTTCAGAAAGAGTGCTCTGTTACGACTTCTGAAAATCTTCTGGGCAGAGTGCTGCTGCAAGTGAAAGGTTAACACTCCTCTAGAGGCAATGAAAAGAAACAATTTTAACACCTCTGAGTCTTGTTTTGTATTGAAGATCAACAGACTAATTGTCCATATCAATTGCCGAGGTTGATGCTCTCCAAAAATAGGTAGCAACTTCAATGGTAGGATAAAATAAGCTTCCAATAATCACTCGGCAATATTTTCAAAATAAATAAATAATCACTCGGCAGGAAAAGGAACAAGTCATGAGGGCTGAGGAGCCAACTCTGAAGGTCACTGGCAAAGCTGTCTGCGCAGTTACGGGTGATGTTAGTGAACCGGAATCAATTATCAAATTCACAGCTGATTAGGAATACTCAACCTGCATTAAACGTAGAGAGGATTCTGAAGAAATTGACTTGGCAGCAAGGTCGCCTGAAGAAGGATTATGGATGCCAATCCTTGTGAATCGGTTCAAAGAGTACTTGCTTGTAGCCGTAACATTTACTAAAGAAGGCATTGATTGGTCTTAAAGTCAGCACTAAGGCCAAGATTGCCGAACAAATGACTAATTTCAAAGCTTCTAAGAAAGCAAATAGTTCACGGCTATATGAAGTCAAAGCCAAGCTCAACTTTTCTGATAAAACAGTTTTCCTGTTATGCTACCTAAGAGATTCTTCCAAGAAGTTCATTGAGAGATCTACAAGTTGAGGACTGAAGGTATAAATGAGGAACATTGAAAAGATATCCAGAATTGTGAGATCCAAAAGATGTGCCTTCGCTCTGCCGTGAGAATTTAGATATTTTCTTGGTTAAATTTTTTAAAGATAAATTAAAATGAAGATAAGATTCTATCCAAACATTTCATGAGGACTTTATGATCTCATTCTAGCTTTCCTACAAGTGCAAGCCCCTCTGAATAATTCTCTCTTGGTGACAAGAGATAACTTTTAATTAATGATATTCATTAGAAGCCACATGCTTAGCATATAGTAGCAATAGCTTGGTATAGGATTTCAAATCTATAACATTACACTTGAAGAAGATGGTGTGGGGAATAAAGATGAACCTGATAAAAAATTGTTAGATCGAAACCAGCAGATGGAGGGCCGGCTAAACCAGCCCTAGCGCTGGTTTACTCTAGATGGCCAAGCCAGCCGCCGGCCCCCTTGTGGGGCACATTGCTTCAAGAGAAAGGAAGGAATTTAGGCATGATTGAATTAAAGAGGGGCGGCGGATCTTGTGGAGCCCAATTTCTTGAAGAGGAAGGGTTGTTTTAGGCATGATTTGATTTAGGGAGGGGATGTTTAGTAATTGGGATCATATTTGTATTTTTTTGCTTTCAATAGATGAGATTATTTAGGTTTAGGGTTATCTGGATATTTGCTGAATTTTAGAGTGTTCCTAGGGTTTGTTGAGGCTCTAACCCCCGGCTAGAGATTGGGAGAGACGGACCCTCCTCTGCAATTGAGGATCCATTGTGTCTTGTTTGTTTTCTTTCATCTTTTATCAATAAAAAGATTTCTTTCTAATTATTTCTCCCAAATTATTCTCTAATCTGTTTTTGCAAGGGCAGAAATTCAAATTTATTAAAGGGAATTCTTCTGCCTATAAGCGTTTTCTATCAAATTGATATAAGAGCGGCATCTAGGGCAGTTTTGGGACTGTTTAGATTGATTCATGTAGCAGTTTTTCTCCTTCAAACCATTGTTTTTTGCTGTTTTTGGGGTGAAAATCTGTATTTTTTAGTCTAAAAAGATTTGAGGACCTAAGGCGGGAAGAAAGGTGGAAGTATTGGAAGGGAAGATTAGACAAATGAAATCTAAAATTTCATATCTCCAAATTCAAATTTCTGATTTAAAAAGTGAAATCTCAGTCATCCATGAGAAGAACGACTCAAAATTTTCCATCATAGAGGAGATGTTGAAGAAATTGCTCGAGGGCCAAACTAAAATATCGCCGTTGGAGGGGAGGGAAGCTGCCGATAATTATG